AACTCTCATTCCTTCCAGCTGAGTGCTCCAGTCAGCTGGTTAGAGAGTGTGTAGCTAGACAGCAAATGGCAGGTCATGGCACAGCAGACTCTTTTCATCTAGCACCCTTGCAGTGGTCTGCTGCTTCTTGTGACTCAGCCCTCCAGGTAGGTCACTTATAGTCCCTCCCCCTCCGAGCCCTTCTGGGGTAACAAAGCCTTCTCCAGCAAGCAATTCAAAGACCTTATGACAGGTCTCCAGCCTAAGGCCCAATGGTCCTTCCATTCCTTAGCTTGGGGCTTCACAACCTTACCTTCTTTCTAGGCTGCAGAGCCACTCAAGGCTCCTTCTGGAGTCCCCCAGTAAATCTCAATGAAAAATATGAACAAACCACCATGGCCCTCCTCAGGCTCGAGCTTTCATCCCTCCCAAGTTCCCCAGCTGAATGCCTCCCAGGGATTTCTCCCCACAGATCCAGGTCCTGCCCCTTAATCAGAGCTCACAGCCAGAGCTTGCTCCACCCTGCTGACTTCTTGCCACATTTCTCTACTCAGGAAAGGATCCCAGGGCCAACTCTCACCTAAGTTTCTTCTTGGACTCTCCTGGTCTCTCCACTGCCAAGAGGAAGGATGCAGAGGTTGGTCTGTCTCTCCCCCCCATGCAGCTAGCAACCTCCTCACCCTACTTCGGGCTTCCTCTTTTTACAGCAACCACCCTGCTAGGACTCATCTTTAACTAGGCCTGGGCAGAAAGTGCTCTGAGCACTCCAGCTCCAGTTAACTCTTTCAGAGCCAATGTGGGGTATACACCCCAGCATAGACACGAAACAGCATTTTTTTGTGAACAAAAATTTTTGCTCAGCTCGATTCCAACCTTCCATTTCTCGTATCTGTTTGGACTGAGACTTTCTCACTCTGGGCTAGCACAGTAGGAGCCTCCAGGAGTGCTAAAATAATAAAGAAAAGCAGAATGCCTTCTGTTTTTAGATTCCCTTTTCTCACCATGTTTTCTGAATGACAGCAGCAGAGGCTGCAGTGAAGATTTTTTTTAAAGCAATATTTGCTCCGCATCCACTAAATAGCCGCATAATAGTCTCCTGCCTTGTATCGTTAGAACACATGGCATGCCAATAATTATTATTAAACCGCCAGTAGGATTTAGTGCACCAGGCATGTCGTTCTTCTTGCAATGCATCCCTCCGGTTGGAAAAACATAACAATTAGCTGAGCCCACGTTCATTGTGTTGACTGAGCTGAGAAAATTTGTGTTCAAAACACAGAACCCCCTGGACTTAGCAAACCAAGCCAGTTTGTTGTGGCATTCAAATTACTTACCTAATGATACCAAAATACTAAGGGGGGACAGGAAGATACAAAGAAACAGGAGATGTTCCATCAACCACCCGTCTGGATGGGAGCCTTCCAAAAAAAAAAAAAACTCCCAAACAAAAACAAAGTTGAAGGGTTTTCCTGGAAGTGCTCACAAAACAACTTCCTGTCCAGTCCAAAAAGCAGTTTTCCCATGAGGACGGTCTCTGAACCCCAGTCTCTGGGAGAACATTGCCTCAAATCCCTTTCTAAATGGAGACATCCTAAGGCTTAAATCCACCCCTGTGCAGAGAGAGCTCGATCCTGCCAGCAGCTCTGCGTTCTTATCCCGATTCAGCAGAGCACTTAAGCACTTGCTTAATTTGACGTCAGTGGGACTGTCACATGCGTAACGTTAGGCTTGTGTCTAAATGCTTTGCTGGATCATGGCACCTTGCAGGGTTGAACGCTCAGCCTGCAGAAGGCACTGAGCCCAGCCAAAGCTGTATTTTGAGGGCTCCAGTGGGCCTCTGGGGTGCATAGCCTTACACAGGGTAACGTTCACCCTATAGGAATATTATAAAATCAGCTGTTAGGTCATCATTTTCAATGTGGAGATGAACCTGAACCACAGCCCTGGATCTGAACACCCTGTGGTGGGCAGATACTCAGTTGGAGCAGGGCCCCTTTTAGGTTTGAGTGCACTTACCTCGATGATGCCACCCAAGCAAATCAAACACAAGAAATACACTTGACTAAGTATAACACAGTGATTGAGTTTGCTGTGTACCCTCTCCACTAGATGGTATTCAAAAGATAAGTAGCTGCTACTCCTAGCCACTAAATTCATGGAGATCTGTGCTGAAGGTAAAGGGTTCAAATCCTGCTTGCTGATGACCTGTAAAAAAAAAAAATTAACATATAAGTGCTGATTCTCCATTGCTTTGCAACTAGTACAGTCATTTTCACTGGGTGCAAAAGGCTACCACCAAATCAGACCGGTCGCATTTTACACCCCAATTGCACTCAGCGTGCACTGATGTAAATGACTGCATGAGTTGCCCGGCAGCAGAGAATGCTTCAGGTAACCAAACCAGGATTAGTCACTCAGAGAGAATTCCAAAGCTTCCTTGTTAACAGCAAAAGAAGATTTCAGGGCACAGATCAACTCCATCCCTTTCTCCTGTCTGCCACTGACAGCCTTCACTGAAGTGCTTATTACCAGAAAGCTCCAGAAAAAGTCCTTTCCCTTTCCTTGTGGATTTTTTATTATACAGCCGCTAGCCAAGCTGCATTCAGTCCCCATCTAATGCAACTGCTAACGTGCAATGACTACCTTGTTTATAGCAAAGCCACACACCCTTGGCGACATGCTGGGCCAAACTCATCTTTGGGGTAACGCCAATCACTTCACAAAGGATTGACATTTGCTAACCATTCTTTAACCCTGTCAAGTATCAGGGGGTAGCCGTGTTTGTCTGTATCTACAAAAACAACAAGGAGTCTGGTGGCACCTTAAAGACTAACAGATTTATTTGGGCATAAGCTTTCGTGAGTAAAAACCTCACTTCATCCGAAGAAGTGAGGTTTTTACTCACGAAAGCTTATGCCCAAATAAATCTGTTAGTCTTTAAGGTGCCACCAGACTCCTTGTTATTCTTTAACCCTGCCCGTCTGCTTCAGCTAAGTTATACAATGTCCCCTCCGTCATGCTTACAATTAGAACTTGGGCAGATCAAAGTTTCGAGCAGTCTGAATGATAAATAGATTAGCATCATCAACAACAAAAGAAGTGAAGTGCGCATTTTTCTTTTCAAAAGCTTTTAATAGGACACGTTTGTTTTTGTCATTTGTAAAGATTTACACTCATTTTTGTTTTTAAAAAAGAGAGAACATTTTAACCCAATTTTCCCCTTTAATACCATCTTTTGTTGCCCTGATCAAAGACCGAGTTTTTGGTCTATATACCTGATACAGTATAACAATATAGTAAGTATTAAATACAAAGTTCTATCATATATGCTAGATTGTTACGGACATTGCAATGGTACTGTGCCTACTCTAGTCATCTCGTGTAATAGTGTACATGGATTATTATAGTCAAGGGGGCAGAAAAGGGGGACCAGGGCATAGCCTAATTTACAACATTAAATCTTTTTTATTTCTTTGTGCCTTACACCAAACCTTGTGTTGAGTGCAATCTACAGAAGCCAAAAACAGTGTTTTTTCCCCCTTCCTCCAAATTATCTACAGTTTAAATAACCTGTAATCTGTCTATGAATAGTTATGTGCAATGGCTGCAACTATGGAATTTACATTTTTCCAGACACGATCACCATCTCTTTTCCTCTCACACGTAAGACTGGCAATAGCAGAATATTCTATTCCCATCTGTTTACAGTAAATCCACAATATTAAAGTGCTGGTGTGCTTTGAATGAACTGGAGAGCCACGGGACTGTGCATTAGCATCAGGGCTGGCTGACTTCTTAGGGTGGACATGTTTTATACCAGTACAGTTCTTTAGCAGTGTAGCCCTGCAACATCCTAGAACTTTAGCTTAGCTACTCACTTCTAACCATTACCTTTATGCGGTCTTTGGAACTAGGTTATAAATCTTGGAATATACTAGGTCTGGCCCCAAATTTATTAAAAGAAAATATTAGACATAGCTGCTTCTCTTTCCAAGATGCTATGCACACTTTTAACAATTTCTCTACAGATTTCTACAAAAATATAAAAATTCAATCAACATAACCATTCTACAGAATTCCTGTGGATTTTTTACATTTTTCTTTAAAAAAAAGTCAACTTCTATAAAACCCCCCAAAGGTATTTAAAATGATTTTAAGATTATTGCACACTCTGTAGTACATATATTTGTTTTTCAAAAGGGCAGCTAGAAAAAAACTCTTATCAGTTAGAAAACAAACGATTTTACATGCATTTTTTTTCCTGAATGCATCTTCGTACAGTATGTTTCTATTGATTGGTCTTTATTGAACATGAATGTATGATGTAAACTTTGTTTTATTGTTATTCACACAACCCTTGTCAGTAGGCAAAACCCCAAGTACTGAAAATAGAACAGTTTTTAAGTTAGACAGTTGTTAGGCTTCCCGTTACAGTTGGAGCTGTGAGCATGGATTGACATTACCTCACCTTCTTGCACCATGATTTCAGGCTAACATATTGCATGTTATATTACCAGGAAGGTACTGTGTTGTGTAGACCTCTTACTATTCAGCTCCACTCCAGCTACAGAAACACATTGCTAGTCATTTAGCAAATTTGGGTACCGTAATTTTAGTGGCCCAACCGTTTTGCTGGATTATTTGGTATGCTCAAAAGGAAAGTCTAAAGCTCATTAGGCATGTAAAACCAAAAAGGGATTAAGAATATTTCTCAGGCTTAATGCACTGTAATTTTATTATTTCCTTAAATGGGATCTGGGTGAAGCACTGATGAAAGGTTTGTTTGTAACGATTGCTTTAATTGGGTTTAATTTTGGACTTGGACTCGGATTATGAGAGAGAATGCTCTGTGTGAGGCACATTTTAGGAGTCTTGAGCAGGGTTAAAAAAAAAAAAGCAGCCCACCATCCTAGCCAAGAAATAATCTATTTGGAAGAAACAGTACAGAATGTTAATTTTTAAAATAAATGGATTGTTTCCTGCTGTATAATCCCTGACTTTTGTACAGGACTTGCAAAATCAATGATGATTGTTTAGGAAAGTAAACTTCCTCAAGTAATTTAAATCTTCACATAGATCTATTAAATATAGGGCATCTTCCTTGTGTATATTTATTTGAAGCTAATCTCGATACAAAAAGGAACACTGGGAGAATCTCTGAGCCCACCAAAGGACTTGGAACCAAGGTTTCCTAGGAGTTTGAAAAAAATCAGTGGCGCTCAAAGAATTTCAATCTCCTGAATAAGAGAACTAGTCATTTTGAATTAAACTACCTCAAATCGGTCTCTTAATTACACTGGTATAAGGCTAAATCTGCAAAATCCTGTAAAGATTTATGCATGTGCTTGACGTTAAGCATGGTAGTAGTCTCATTAATTTAATTGGGACTACTCCCATACTTGAAATGAAATGTGGATTAGTCTTTAAGGAGCCTCAATCTGAAGTCGTCTCTATTGAGGCTCAATGAAATTCGCTTCAGATTCACACTGGAGTAGCTGAGAGCAGGATTGGGCCTACTGGGCCAAATTCTGCAGTGCTTCATATTCTGCATTCTCTCCCTGACTTTGATTTTACAAACAGAGTTTTGCATGGGGCGTTAGCACAGAGTTTAGCCCATGAATTTTGGAGATGATTGACATTAAGGACATGTTATAAACATTTGGTAAAAATTCTATCTTAATTTATTCTCGTACCACAATTCGAAAGAATTTCTGGTTAAAGTCTTTCCAGGTTTGGAAGGAAATTGAAAGTAGGGCCTTACAAATTAGCTCCCAGTTGTGGCACTGAAAAACTCGTCTGTTTTACCTAAGATAAATAGTTGTTGTATTGCAGGCTTCCCTACTCTTTTTGGTAATGACCTTCAGCTAAGCTCTGATTCTGCAAAGCATTCTTATTCAGGGAAGCACGTAAGCATATGCTTATCTTTGAGCACCTAAATCCTATTGACTTCAATGAGACTAAACACATGCTTAAAATTAAGCTCATGCTTCAGGCCCAGATTTTTAAAGGTGTTTAGGCGTTGCTGTGCACAGCATTGCAATGCCTAACCGATTTAGGAGCCTACATCTAATTTTTAAAAGAGATTTGGGCACTTAGGAGCCAAAATCCCGTGGGCAGTTGATAATATTTAGCTCCTAAGTGCCTAAATCACTTTGAAAATGAAATTTAGGCTCTTAAATCAGTTAGGCATTGCAGTGCAACAATTCCTAAATAATTCAAAAATCTAGGCTTAAGTGCTTTGCTGGACAGGGATGATCATAAGAACATGCTTAAATGCTTTCCTGGATCAGGGCTATATGGAGTTTAGCTAACTGCAGCTCTTACTTAGGGGTCTGATTCTCCTCTCTCATAGGTGCAAGTAGGAGTAACTCCATTGAACTCAATGGACTTAGACTAGTGTAAAACTGCTGACAGGAGAGCTCAGGATTGGGTTCTAGGTATCTAAAGATATTGGGTAAAATTGTAAAAAGTGCCCATGGGATTATGTGTCTAAATCACTTGGGTACTTCTGAAAATTGCATCCATTGACAAGTTTTTAAGAACCACCATTGTAATCAGCAGCAATATATGTAATACCTTTTTATAAACCAATATTGTGTCATGCTAGTATGCAGTTAAATTCTCTTTACATTAGAAATCTTCATGCATCTGTTTTGACTCTGATGGGTGATTTAACTTTAGTTTGGAAAATTATTCGATTATTAAAAAGAATTCCATTGCATTTGTAAAATATTCAAATGACTATTTTCCACAGAAAACTATTAAGTTTAAGGGGGGGAGGGGTTACATTACAGTTCAAAATTATTCTCCTTCCTTGTTGACTGTGGAATATATTTCCTCTGTAATGCACTAATTGGCTATACCCTGTGCTTTGCAAAAAAACCAAACCAAACCAAAACAAAAAAGGATTAAATATGTATTTTATGTTAAAATGTCCATAAAACCCAAACCTTATCTCAGAAATATTCTGAGATACATAAAATAGAAGAAAATTAAACAAGATTTTAGTCACAAAATGTACTACATCCCGCAATACTAGAGTCAATTAATTTAATAAAATATAATATACATATAGATTCTGCACAATGTATTGCTTTTACCTAAGCAGAACATATGCTTAAGTAAGCGTGATATAGGTTAACCACTCTTTAACCAGCTGGTTCTTTCAACTTTCTTTGGAAATTTTTACCCAGTGCCATTTGAAA